AACAATTGTAGACTAAAGAGCAGAAATTAAAAATATTTCATTATATTGCATCACCTGTCCTGGGCAAAATAAAAATCATCAAACATTATCGGCAATATCTTGGTTCATTTTAAATAAGTCTAAGGATACCCAGGAAATAACTATTACATTTTTGCAACCTGGTCATACTTAAATGCCTGTTGATTCAGTGCATGCTACCATAAAATCAAATTAAAAAAATAAAATAGTTTGGGCACCTTCAGAATGGCCGACAATTATGGTAAATGCAAGATTGAATCCAAAACCGTACGATGTATATACGATGAGTCTTAATGACTTTATGGACTTCAAAGTATTACAGCATGCAATCTTTCCTAAAAAAGTTTTAACAAATGGAAAAAAATTCAGTGAAATAAAAAAAAGTATATTTTTCAAAATTGAGAAATGTGACCATTAACCCAGAAATGTAACCATTGGGTTACGACAATTGGACTTTTGACCATCGAATTGTATAATACTTTAGAGTCTAAATATTTTAAATAATTATTCTAAATCTAATTAATGTGTATAAAATTTAGGTACTCAAATTTTACTTTATTTTTTAAAAATACTGTTTAACGCGATATAATTTACGTATTATCATGTCAAATGCTTAAAACAAAAATTAAAACTATTTTATAAATTTCTAAGATTCCTCGAAACTCGGAAGAGTGGAAAATTATCGAGAAAGATTTTTCCGAAAAATTTAACTTTCCTCATTGTTGTCTATGGATAACAAAAATGTTGTTATTCAGTCATCTAACATAGGTAGCGGTTCGAAATACGTTTGGAATAATTTCTTCGGTATTTCAAGTGATCAAAAAACCAATTATGTTACTTGAACCAGAAAATGTAATAATTAATATTACCTTAACCAGGGCCGTATTTATTGGTGGCCCTGGGTACAACTGCCCCGGGTGCCAGTATTTTAGGGGCGCCAAAATTGTGTGGTCAGAATTTTGTTTACTTGTGAATTATTAAAATTTTATAATTTTAATTATTTTAATAACAGTATCATATAATATAATTTAGGATAATAGTATTAAATATATATATAGTATTATGCTGTTCGAAATTTTTTTAATTAATATTAAGTTGCATAGTTTTATATAATTGTATTTTATTTATTCACGAAGTACCTACAACCTACTTAAATATGTTAAAAAGAAAACAACTTACATGATGAATTATAAGCAACGTTTGAGTGACACAAATTCAAAATATGTATCTTTGAGGAGAGAGGATCTATCTCCCATATTTTCCGTGGTCCCTTAGGAGGAGCAATTACATTTTCACCGGGGCGCAAAATGTCTAAATGTGGCACTGACCTTATGTTTCCCGGCCCTCTCAATTCGAGCACTGGGCTGGTCATCTCCTAAACATTGTTTTGGTTTAAGGTCTAGCAGAAGGGATGATGGACGAGTGCAGAGACGATGGCTTCACAAATATACATTTCACCTCTATTTTCCCCTATATGGTAGACACCGGTCTGTGCAAGAAACCTGTAATTCGGTAAGTCCGGGTGATGCAACACATCACATTATATACCTGCAACTGTATGGAGCATTGGATATTTTAACTAATATACTGGGTGACAGCAACGTCGCCCAGAGAAAACTTTTTGTCTCCTAGTAGACGATATTATATTTAATTACTGGGCGACAACGATTTTTGTAAAAATGTCGACGTTGAAATTATTATATATAATTTTATTTATTGATTATTAATTATTATGTTTAGTTTTATTATTTATTTATGACGTATATCATTTCGTTTGACGAATAATTATTGAGAATGAAAAATCCATGTGACCGTTCACCATAGCCCGTAAGTATCCATAGAATAATACAATGCGACATGTTTCATCTGGTCGTCAGTCGTTCAGGCAAATATCTATTATCTACAAACTGATTGTTTTTGATTTATTTTATGTATTTTAATTTTTAGTACCTACCTCCTATACTTGTTCCTACAAGATATTAGCTAAATAATTATTTCCCTTTGAACCTTTAAACAGTATAAAGGCGGGTTTCCACTATATACACGAAAAATGTGTTCAGCTATGTCCAACAACAAGGTAGGTATCTTGGTTAATCGTGTGGTAACTTAACATAACCGACCAATCACAGCAAAGGATTTGTGTACGCATACGTGTGTAGTGGAAACCCGCCTTAAACGTTCAAGCCTTCAAGGTGCCGGTTACCTACGTAGGTAACCACGACGACAGGGCGACTTTCGTCATTTTCGGTATCTAAGTATAAAATAATTTAAAATCTAATATTTTATGCTTGGACTTATACTAAATACAGTACCTCTTTCCAATAATGATAATATATTACCAAATACACTAATCCTAAATGAAATATACCTATATACTTGCATAATATGATACCTATGTATAACGCGTATTACCATTGATTATAAATACTATTAGTAAAAATAGTAGTATTTATAATCAATGGTATGGGTGTAATACTATTAATATTCTGCACATTTCTACGAATAACCAATATAATAACTTTTATTATAAATTATTATTTATTAATATTTATATAATTAATACCGAAAAGTTTTTTATAAGCTCATAATATGTTGAGGGAAATTTTTTTTTTTATGTCGCCCAGTGATAATTCCTAAAAATATCCACTGGTATGGAGTTTATAGACGTTTACTGGTAAATCAATTTTAAATAGTTTTCCCAGCTTGTTACCACTCGTAACGGCCGAGTCGACGGCAAAAGAAATAATAACCGCCGTTAGAAAGAACCTATTTGAACATTCCATTCCGAGATCATTGCTCACATTCAATAACATATTTAGGTGAATTAAAATTATTTTATACAATGTCCAACGACAGCTGTGTACTAAAATACACATTGTGGTTTATTGTTCTTACTTGTTTTAGGTGTTTTCCGTACAAAATGGCATTGGACTTTAAAGATTTTATGGGCAGTGGCGTTGATGCACACGATGATTAATTATCATTTATCAAGCCAGCATGAAAATAATACTTCCGAAATAAACATATTCGTTTGTAAATTTTATTAAAGCTATATAAAGTCATATAAAGTCAAATTAATTTTTCTATGAGCTTTTTATGTCAAATTATCTTCAAACAAATTTCTTTTATTGACTATATTGTTGTGTAGTTAAAAAACAAATAGCCATAATATGGATACCTACTTCAATACTTGAAATGTTCACCAGATATGTGTTATTAAAGTATCATACTATCATAATATATAAAATTGTAGCATAATAAAGGTATCTACTGAATTTATAAAATGAACGACATTATTATTATCTATACTTAATATTCATAAAAAGTAAGTATTTAAAAGCTAAATAGCAGCCTTCTCTTACTAATAATATTAAGATAAGTAATAACTAAATAATTAATTTAAGTATTTCATAGTCGGTATAGTTGCATAATTCCTTAGGAAAAACACCGTAACATCACTAGAAATTCCTTTAAAATGTCGCATCAACCAAAATATTTTCAAATACTAGGGAAAAATACAGTATATACTTTGTAGGTACATGTATCATGCATGTAGCATAATATTCTAGAGAATAAAGCGGTATCTAAGTTCAATGGAGATACGGCTGATTTCATTAGTAAAATAATTTCTCAATGTATATACTGCATATTTACCTAATAATCTTAGCTAAAATGGATTTACTGTATGTATACTTTAACTTTTATCAATGAATGGTCGCGACTCGAGGTACTAATCACTACTCATCAGTCATCACTAATCAGATACGTCATATTGTGCCAAAAGTTTTGGTCAAAAGCATTTATTGAGATTGATCAGACACCGTGGTACTAACTAAAACCATTATGTGTTATCCATATCTCCTTAAAATTGAAAAAAAAAAACAGAACAAAAACTTTCAAAAAATTAAGGATTCTTACGACTAATAAGAAATGAAAAAAAACTGTGTAAAATAATGATTTACTGGTGAAAAACTCATTTTACCAACAATTCAATTATTGGACATACTGTTTGTCCCACTAGAGTCTAAGAGGGCAGTATAATACTACAGCGCAAATATTAAATATTATCATTACCTCTGTAGTCTGTTCCTTATACTTATTAATTAAGTAAAAAAAAACAATTACTTAAAAAATTAATGTAATTTGTACCGAACATATTTTGTAATGTTATGAAATAATGGAATATATTTCAAACTGCAATGAATATTTCTAATTTGTACATGCCTTAAGTAAAAAAGTAATTTCTATTACAAAATAAAATTTAATTTTGAAGTTTTGTTTTCTGAAATTTTACATCACTATCATATTGTACAGCCGAGCTATGCACAGCTATATAGAATTTAGTAACACGGTAGCGGTACCAGAATTTTCCATCTTTTTATTTTAAACAGCCTTAAATCTTAATACTTGGAAAGGTTACCTGTATCAACTGTGGCTCGGCCACGGGCCTCACACATCACACCCATAGACCTATAATAAACTAATGGACAGAGCTTAATCCAGACGACATAACTGAGAGAAAACATAACATAGGTATTGTAAATTAGAATTAGTCTTTACGCAGTTACATATTATATATTATACGAGTAGATTGTAACGTGCTACTCCGCGTTACTCGTAGAAATGGAAGTATAAATTGAACAACTCCTCTTTGATGGTAATAATTGTATTTATTTTGTGTAAAACAGTTATTATGGAAAATAGTCTAATTCCAAATAATTATGTTTATCATCTTATATTCATATTATAACCTCCCTGCATGACGAGCAAACCATTTGCTTTCATGAAATTGTTGTTTTCGTAGAATAGTCTGTAAGAATAATATGGGCAACGCTGTTGTATTTATATATTTCAATTGCGCTTTTGTTCTCACTCACATAAAATAGTTGTTTAAAGTGTACAATATTTTGTTTTTTCTTTTAACATATTTTACTCTCCGAGTCACACAAATGTTTTTATTTATTTATTGATAATTTATATAATCAGAACTCACGTTGATTCCAAAGTGTGGTGGATTGATTGACAGGTGATGGATTACCGACTATAATATAATATACTAGTTCACAATGTATGGCAGCGGCCAGGTAACGGGATACGACCATCGGGCGATGTGCTGCTCGCTCCGTCCTCAATTTGGTATCGGCTTGATATGAACCTCCTTCAATTGTATCACTCGCCTCCGTGGAAATAGAAGTGGTTGATCGAATGAATAACCGGGTGCATGTATTACTCGTACCGGTGATAACGTAGGTAGACATCGCGACGGCTTGTATGCGCCGGCGGCGGCAATAATACGTGGAACAGGCAGAGGTTTCAAAATTGTCCAAAACAGTGTTGTCGCGATGTAGCGGGTAGGTACCTAAAGGCGCCTTCACAGCTCACCGTGAAATGTGAAACGTGATAATATATAATTTGTTCCCGTAAAAATATTCTTAACCACGACTGTCAACCATACGGTAAACACACGCTCTGAGTAGGATTGAACTCAACTATACGGTATAAGCCGTATAGATAAGGTATTAAGAAAAAAAATGATGGTTAACCATTAGATAACCACATGTTTCAACCAATCACAGTTCTAGAACATATCACGTTTCACGGGGAGCTGTGAAGGCGCCTTAACACGACGGTCGGCGGTAGAGCTTGAGGGTACCGCGATATTTCAGAGTAGCCGACGATAGACGAATAGCAGTTCCTTGCCGTACGGTCAGTGGCGTACACAGCTATTTTCAATTTGGGGGGGGGGCTTACATATAAAAAATTTAATATATTTATATATATTATACATTGATAAATCAAAACGATGTACCTATAGTAATTATTTTGTACATAATGAGTAATCGGCTCATTAGCAATGACTTAAGGTGAAATTAAAAATATTTTTACAATTCTCGATTATTATTTAAAAATATATACCTATGACCTACTGGTAATTATTTAGTATGACTACAAAGCTACACGCGTATATAAAGTATGTATATAATAATATATTATATACAATTCAATAATAGATAGGTATAAAGAGAAATTTATTTTTACCATATTAATCATTTTTTTGTACCTAGGTCCTAGGTTGATAATATAATGTATTAAATATTTACCTGGTTCCTCCGAGTTAATTGTATCACAAATTAGTGAGTTAGAAAAATATTCATTAGGAATATATTTATATTTAGACGTATGCAGGGACGTACACATTGTATTTATGTATGTTTGTTTGTGTGAGTGTATAACAATAATAATAATTTTATTAGTACCGTTATCCCGTATAGTTTTGTTTCTAAAATTTAAAATTAATACAAATTCTAAAAACCACAACCGATTGGCACTCTTATTAATTATCATTGTCCATTGATCCCTGACTTCAGTTAACTTACGAGTTGCGACAGTCGTGTATGGTAAACTATTCAACTATTCTGCGTATTGTGTTAATTTAGTTGTGTTCAGTGTACCTTATCCTACCTAAATTAAAATTTATTTTTTCGTGACTTGTGTTCACATTAATCTTTCAATTTGAGCAAAATATGACTTAAAAAAAAATAAATGTTCTGCTTTGGAATAAAGAATTGAAATGCAAACGTTGTCGATAAAAAAACCAAAAAATATGTTCAAATACATAAATCATTTTTGAAATTAAGAATGTCTTATGTTAATTAATTATGTATCACTCTGTGATATTATATGATCCTATATAATATACGTACAGGGTTTTGAATTTCAAATATTTCACTTCATTTTTCATCAAATAATATTATGAAAAATATTATTTTTTTCGTTTAAACGTATTTGGCTATAGATAATTAGAAATTGTTATTGATTACAAAATATCGATAATGACTAATCAACCAAGGTATACGGGTTACTATGTTAATAGTTGGTTAACCCCGGCTCTCATAACTTCTAGCATTATTTTTTTTTAGAGATTCTAGAGATATGAGCTATACAGAATTGTTTCAGAAATCCAAGAAACTATAAATACGAAATTCTATGTTGCATATTTCGAAATTTTGTTTAAATGTTATTTTGCTTTTTTCGTGTCCATTTTAGTACCGAAGACTTCAAAATGTTTGTGTACTACTACACAATAAACACTTCCAATGTAATATTATTCAATTTCTTTTTAACTTCTAAAAGTTTCTAACATTTTTTCATCTTAATAATTTTTTTTTTTATTTAATTTTTAAAAGAAACAATCTGTATCTAATACGCATTAAGCCAGATTAGCTAGCATGCTAGATGCTGATTAGCAGTATGCTGATGTATATATTGCAACTTTATGAAATAAGACTTGCGAGAAAAGTAGCCACCCAATGACAACACTTTACTTGGCGATTTTTATACTTAGCACTTACTTGTTTACATATTTCAGTATTCTCTTTTATTATTTAAAACTTGTAAAAAAAATTGTGCCTATGAGTTTTTAATATTTTTCAACTGCTATAGTGACAATATAATATCAGGAGTTTCGTATTCAATTTCCACACGGTTTGACCCAACAAATAAAATTTCTTGACAATATTATAGAAAAATAAAATGAAAAATATAATAAATATATCTTATATAATGAAACTCTAATAACGCGTATAAGATTTCGATTTTTTCATACACACTTTCATACACATAATACATAAGTCATAACACAGTGATGCACCATTATAATTATGCAATTATAATTACTAAATAATTTAAAACATCATAAATATCATATGACATTAAATAAATTGGTAGGTAGGTACATAATATATTATATACAGTCATACAATATAACAGCAAAATATTATGATAGTTGGTACTTACGAAGATAAGTGCCAAAAAATTGTATAGTGTATTCATTTACATACCTACGTTTAATAGGATAGTATTACATTTCAATAAAATTTGTTATTCACCAATATAATTATCTATTTGTTAATTTGATTTAATTCTCATAATTAAATAAATATACATGGTAGGTATATTTTAGAAAATATCCAATCAGAAAATTAGATTTTGGCGACTTATTTGTTATAACCGCGAAAACATAACAATGATTACATTGATTACAATGAAGCCTAACATAAAACACCTGATAACCGTTCTCTATAATTATCAAAAAATACAATTTTGTTACCTCCTTTACGCTTTTTCAGATTTGAACGGCCGTTTCGAGCACTTTTCGCTGTAGGCGGATTGTGCGTTCGGGAATCGTCTTTCACCCGAGATGACTGATAGCTAGACACTCAAACTCAGAATCCGAATTTCCGATTTCAACACACATACGAGAACCGGACATACACGCCCGGTGCATGGCCTGCGATCCGACGTAGTCGGATTGCCTACCTGACTAGCTACTTGCATACAAGCGACTTACACCCCCACTGCAACCGATCCGCCACAGGCGAATTGTCCGTTCTTGAATCGTCTTTCACCCGAGATGACTGATAGCTAGACACTCAAACTCAGAATCCGAATTTCCAATTTCAACACACACACTCTAGAACCGGACATACACGCCCGGGGCGTCGTCTGAGATCCTCGGATGGCCTACCTGGCTGGCTGTGTCGTACGATCGACTTGAATCGCCTGACTTACGACTAGGCACTCTTCCAAGTTCAAAAATTACCTCTTAACCAGTGCTGCCAACACGACAAAACACAATACCCGACGACCCCGCGTGCCCGCCGCAGCCCGGATCAAAAAACCCAGCTCGAGGCGAAACGACAAAGATGCACCACCGCCCACACAGTCTTTCCGCCGTAGGCGGGATGACAAACACCCGAATCTAGTAATAATAATAATATAATAATATTACCTATGCTGTTTATCATAGGTAATAGGTATAGATAATATAATATTATGTAATCATGGAAACGACTTGTATAATTTCACTCATACTTCCAATTCATTCAATTAGTACGTTTTGCATGACTATAATACTTATTAAATTACATATCGCCTCTTTTTAAAGTTCGAACAATAATAATTATAGAATTTAAAGTAGAAAATGAATAAAGTTCAAAACGAATTCGAAGAAACTTTGAAACGCATCCAATCTCAAAACGGTGTTGATGGTGTTATTGTGGTAAACAATAATGGTATGTATTCGAACAGTATCTTATTATGGTTGTAGGTTAACAGGTAGTAGGTACTAGGTACCTAACTGTTGTGATCACGGACTTATTAACTTATTATTACTTATTCATGTAGTGCTTGTGACACTCAATCTTTAGTCCTTACTCGGGCTCTGTTTTTTTTATCATTAAATTATTTGTTTATCATATTATATTATTATGATTGATACGGATAATAATTGTTATAGGTGATCAAATTACATCAACATTTGACAACAGATCATCTGTTAGACATTCTGAAATGATGATGAAGTTGGCTGACAACGCGAAGCGTTTTGTTAGAAATTTAGATCCGTCAAACGAGTTGACTGTTTTACAAATGGGTTCTAAAAAACGAGAAGTAGTGCTGGCACCTGGTAAATTGTATTTTGTAATATTTTTTTACCCAAATAATATTTTGACTACTATATATTTTATTGTTTTGAAATGTTTACACGCGTACCTATCTACTTATACCATATTTCAATCAAACAACTATTTTTTTCCATTCGTTACAATTGTTGTAACATTTTTTTTCTCATACAACATTTTAAGCTTAGAACAAAAATAAATTACATTATATTATATTTGAGATATGTATCTTCTTAAAGCACAAGCTTGTGGCAAAGATATAGAATTACAGAAACAGAGAATAATTATAATTATATGAAAATTACAACAAAAATAAGGGTGATTTTACAATATAATTATATAAATCTAAAAATACATAATATCATACCAAAAAAAAAGGTGGGCAAGTGGGTGTCGCTCTGCCGTACAGTAGGTTACTAGTGGGTCACTGTATAATGGATTTTATTACATTTGAATTCAATGATATTATACCATTGTATAAGAAAAACGATTCTGAGCGGAGACGGTATGTCCTTCTAGGTACAAGACATATTAAATACTTATCTATCAAAATAAGGAAATCGCTACATGAGAAATCGAGTGAATATCCAATGTTGTAAAAATTTGAATTTAAAACGCCCATAAAAATTTGATTTGACTTTCTTATAGAAATTTTTTTTTGATAAAGGTAGACAAACTTATGAGGAATCTTGTATTACATTTTAAAACCTTAGATTTTAAAAAAAAAAAAATTTTACGAATTTTTAACTCAAAATAATTTGGTCATTTTCATGATTTTTCCATATTTTGTCAATTTT